AGAAAGAAAGAAAGAAAGAAAGAAAGAAAGAAAGAAAGAAAGAAAGAGAAAGAAAGAAAGAAAGAGAAGGAAAGAGAGAGAAAGAAAGAAAGAGAGAAATAAAGAAAGAAAAATAGAAAGCAAGCAAGCAAGCTGGGTATAGTGGCTCACACCTGTAATATCAGCATTTTTGGAGGCTGGGGTGGGAGGATCAGTTTAGCCTAGGAATTTGAGACTGGACTGGGTAACATCAGCCTGGGCAACATAGTGAGACTGTTTATAAAAGAAAAGAAAAGAAAAGAAAGAAAGAAATCAGGGAGAGAGAAAGCAAACATCTATGGAGACTGACAGGGAACCCCCAGAGAGGCTCCAGAGGGTGTGGCACCTTGGAAGCCAAGGGAAGCAAGTGTATGAGAGAGAGAATGAAGTTAGATCAGATGCTGAGTGGTTTAAGCAGATGAGGCCTGGGACTTGACCCTTAAACTTACTACACAGAGGTCACTGCCTGGGACCTTGAGAGGAGCAGTTCAAATGTGTGTGTGGGAAAGTAGGGTCAGAGGTGTGATTGAAGAACTGGTAACAATGCTACTGGAGAACTCAATACCTTTTGCCTATTAAGGTGAACAGATCAATAGGGCAGGAGCTCCGGGGGAGTGAGGCCATGACACCCTTTTTTTTTTTTTTTTTTTTTTTTTTTGGAGACGGAGTCTTGCTCTGTCACCCAGACTGGAGTGCAATGGCGCCATCTCGGTTCACTGCAAGCTCCGCCTCCCTGCAAATTCCCCCTTAAGTTCCCCCTCCCGGGTTCACGCTATTCTCCTGCCTCAGCCTCCCGGGTAGCTGGAACTACAGGCTCCCGCTACCACACCCAGCTAATTTTTTTTTTTTTTTTTTTTTTTTTTTTTTTTTTTTTTTTTTTTTGCCTCCCGGGTAGCTGGAACTACAGGCTCCCGCTACCACACCCAGCTAATTTTTTTTTTTTTTTTTTTTTTTGTATTTTTAGTAGAGACAGGGTTTCACCATGTTAGCCAGATGGTCTCAATCTCCTGACCTTGTGATCTGCCAGCCTCAGCCTCCCAAAGTATTGGGATTACAGGCGTGAGCCACCGCGCCCAGTCGACAACCTTTCTTATGGGAGAAATAATAATGTTTGTATGCTGATGGGAATAATGTAGACGAGAAGGACAACTGATGATGTGGGAAGAGGAGAGAATTGCTGGAGGATGTCCCTGAGAAGGCGGTGGAGGGATTGCCCTGAGCTAGGAGTGGGGTTAGTTCATCTCCAGAAACAGGAAGGAGAAAGGGGGTGAACAGACAATGTGGGAGCTTCTGGAAGTTCTCTTCTGATTCTGTTCTCTCGGTAAAAGAAACAAAGTCAGTATCTGAAACGTAAGGATGGGTAGGGGAGCGACAAGGTGCGGGCGTGACCTGAGAGGGCGCGGCTTTGTTCATTGCAGGGGGCGGGGATAAGGTCATAGGGCGGGGACTAGTGTAACTGCGACTCAATCCTGCCCTGGGGACTGGAGAGATTAAAATTTGAGGCGGGGCCTCACCGCGGGGGCTCCGCGCAAGTGGGCCGAACTAGGCCCGGGTGGAGCCGGAAGATGCCCACGTGCTGCGCACCTCCACCTCGCCCGCAGGGGACCAGCTGCTGAGTGCCCGAGTGTTCTTCGAGAACTTCAAGTATGAGGACGCACTACGCCTGCTGCAATGCGCCGAGCCTTACAAAGTCTCCTTCTGCCTGAAGCGCACTGTGCCCACCGGGGACCTGGCGCTGCGGCCCGGGACGGTGTCTGGCTACGAGATCAAGGGCCCGCGGGCCAAGGTGGCCAAGCTGGTACGCGTGCTTAGCCCGGCCCCGGCCCTGGACTGCCCCAGCGATCCGGTCTCTGCGCCGTGAGCCCCATTCCCCGCCACCGTGGGCCAGCCTTGCCCTCTGTCTTGTCACTAACCCAAGCTAATCCCACCCTCTGCCCCTTCCTCTCTGCCCCAAACTCTTCCCCGGGGAGGGGGACAGACCCACCCCAGCCTAGGGCCCTCACCCACCTCGGAGAGGTGTCCCCACTATCGGATCCAGGCTTGCTAGGGGTCCTGACCAGGCTACTTGGAACCAGGGAAGCCAGATTCCAGCCTGAGTGCGGCCCAATTACTGCTGAGGGGCCCTGGACAAATTTATTTCCCTCCCTGGGCCTCAGCTTCCCCATCTCTAGAATGAGGATGTTGGGGAAAATCCCAGATCAGGACCTAGAAGTCTTGGGTCCCAGTCCCTATACTCCTGTTGACTCATTTGGAGATTCTAGATGGCTGCCTGCCTTCCTGGGCACTCATGGTGAAAAGACAGGCAAGAAGTGGGGATGATGTTTGGGGGACAAGATACTTGACCCAGGGCATCCCCAGCCTGGTCCAATACCAGGTGGGGCTTTTCCTGTCCACTCCCAGCCTCCCACTGTCCCACCGCCTCCCGCCTCTCTCCTCTTTCCCCAGAACATCCAGAGTCTGTCCCCTGTGAAGAAGAAGAAGATGGTGCCTGGGGCTCTGGGGGTCCCCGCTGACCTGGCCCCTGTTGACGTCGAGTTCTCCTTTCCCAAGTTCTCCCGCCTGCGCCGAGGCCTCAAAGCTGAGGCTGCCAAGGGTCCTGTCCCGGCCGCCCCTGCCCGCCGGCGCCTCCAGCTGCCTCGGCTGCGTGTACGAGAAGTGGCCGAAGAGGCTCAGGCAGCCCGGCTGGCCGCCGCTGCTCCTCCCCCCAGGAAGGCCAAGGTGGAGGCCGAGGTGGCTGCAGGGGCTCGTTTCACAGCCCCTCAGGTGGAGCTGGTTGGGCCCCGGCTGCCAGGGGCCGAGGTGGGTGTCCCCCAGGTTTCAGCCCCCAAGGCTGCCCCCTCCGCAGAGGCAGCTGGTGGCTTTGCCCTCCACCTACCAACTCTTGGGCTCGGAGCCCCGGCTCCGCCTGCCGTGGAAGCCCCAGCCGTGGGGATCCAGGTACCCCAGGTGGAGCTGCCTGCCTTACCCTCACTGCCTGCTCTGCCTCCACTTCCCTGCCTAGAGACCCGGGAAGGGGCTGTGTCAGTAGTGGTGCCCACCCTGGATGTGGCAGCACCGACTGTGGGGGTAGACCTGGCCTTGCCGGGTGCAGAGGTGGAGGCCCGGGGGGAGGCACCTGAGGTGGCCCTGAAGATGCCCCGCCTTAGTTTCCCCCGATTTGGGGCTCGAGCAAAGGAAGTTGCTGAGGCCAAGGTAGCCAAGGGCATCCCTGAGGCCAGGGTGAAAGCTCCCAGACTTCGAATGCCCACCTTTGGGCTTTCCCTCTTGGAGCCCCGGCCTGCTGCTCCTGAAGTTGTAGAGAGCAAGCTGAAGCTGCCCACCATCAAGATGCCCTCCCTTGGCATCGGAGTGTCAGGGCCCGAGGTCAAGGTGCCCAAGGGACCTGAAGTGAAGCTCCCCAAGGCTCCTGAGGTCAAGCTTCCAAAAGTGCCCGAGGCAGCTCTTCCAGAGGTTCGACTCCCAGAGGTGGAGCTCCCCAAGGTGTCAGAGATGAAGCTCCCAAAGGTGCCAGAGATGGCTGTGCCGGAGGTGCGGCTTCCAGACAGAGGTGCAGCTGCCCAAAGTGTCGAGATGAAACTCCCAAGGTGCCAGAGATGGCTGTGCAGTGCGGCTTCCAGAGGTGCAGCTGCCCAAAGTCCCAGAGATGAAACTCCCAAAGGTGCCGAGATGGCTGTGCCAGAGGTCTTGACTTCAGAGGTGCAGCTGCCTAAAGTGTCAGGATGAAACTCCCAAGGTGCCAGGTGGCTGTGCAGTGCGGCTTCAGAGGTGCAGCTGCCCAAGTGTCAAGATGAAACTCCCAAAGGTGCCAGAGATGGCTGTGCCGGAGGTGCGGCTTCCAGAGTGCAGCTGCCGAAAGTCCCAGAGGTGAAAGTCCTGAGATGAAGCTTCCCCAGAGATGGCTGTGCCGGAGGTGCGGCTTCCAGAGGTGCAGCTGCCGAAAGTCCCAGAGGTGAAAGTCCCTGAGATGAAGCTTCCAACGGTGCCTGAGATGAAACTTCCTGAAATGAAACTCCCTGAAGTGAAACTCCCGAAGGTGCCTGAGATGGCCGTGCCCGATGTGCACCTCCCAGAGGTGCAGCTGCCAAAAGCCCCAGAGATGAAACTCCCTAAAATGCCCGAGATGGCTGTGCCAGAGGTTCGACTCCCCGAGGTGCAGCTGCCAAAAGTCTCAGAGATGAAACTCCCCAAGGTGCCTGAGATGGCCGTGCCCGATGTACACCTCCCAGAGGTGCAGCTGCCCAGAGTCTCCGAAATGAAAGTCCCTGACGTGAAGCTCCCAGAGATAAAACTCCCCAAGGTGCCTGAGATGGCCGTGCCCGATGTGCACCTCCCCGAGGTGCAGCTGCCGAAAGTGTCAGAGATTCGGATGCCGGAAATGCAAGTACCGAAGGTTCCCGATGTGCATCTTCCGAAGGCACCAGAGGTGAAGCTGCCCAGGGCTCCAGAGGTGCAGCTAAAGGCCGCCAAGGCAGAGCAGGCAGAAGGGATGGAATTTGGCTTCAAGATGCCCAAGATGACCATGCCCAAGATGACCATGCCGAAGCTAGGGAGGGCAGAGTCCCCATCACGGGGAAAGTCAGGAGAGGCAGGTGCTGAGGTCTCAGGGAAGCTGGTAACACTTCCCTGTCTGCAGCCAGAGGTGGATAGTGAGGCTCATGTGGGTGTCCCCTCTCTCACTCTGCCCTCAGTGGAGCTAGACCTACCAGGAGCCCTTGGTCTGGAGAGGCAGGTCCCAGCCACTGAAATGCGCAAGGTAGAGCGGGCGGAGGGCCCCGAGGTCAGGGAAGTGGGCTTCCGAGTGCCCTCTGTTGAAATTGTCACTCCACAGCTGCCCGCTGTGGAAATTGAGGAAGGGCGGCTGGAGATGATGGAGATGAAAGTCAAGCCCTCTTCCAAGTTCTCCTTACCTAAGTTTGGACTCTCAGGGCCAAAGGTGGCTAAGGCAGAGGCTGACGGGGCTGGGCGAGCCACCAAGCTGAAGGTATCCAAGTTTGCCATCTCACTCCCCAAGGCTCGGGTGGGGGCTGAGGCTGAGGCCAAAGGGACTGGGGAGGCAGGCCTGCTGCCTGCCCTCGATCTGTCCATCCCACAGCTCAGCCTGGATGCCCACCTGCCCTCAGGCAAGGTAGAGGTGGCAGGGGCTGACCTCAAGTTCAAGGGGCCCAGGTTTGCTCTGCCCAAGTTTGGGGTCAGAGGCCGGGACACTGAGGCAGCAGAACTAGTGCCGGGGATGGCTGAGTTGGAGGGCAAGGGCTGGGGTTGGGATGGGAGGGTGAAGATGCCCAAGCTGAAGATGCCCTCCTTTGGGCTGGCTCGAGGGAAGGAAGCAGAAGTTCAAGGTGAGCGTGCCAGCCCGGGGGAAAAGGCTGAGTCCACGGCTGTGCAACTTAAGATCCCCGAGGTGGAGCTGGTCACACTGGGCGCCCAGGAGGAAGGGAGGGCAGAGGGGGCTGTGGTCGTCAGTGGAATGCAGCTGTCAGGCCTGAAGGTGTCCACAGCCAGGCAAGTGGTCACCGAGGGCCATGAGGCGGGGCTGAGGATGCCTCCGCTGGGCATCTCCCTGCCCCAGGTGGAGCTGACCGGCTTTGGGGAGGTGGGTACCCCTGGGCAGCAAGCTGAGAGTACAGCCCCTTCAGCAGAGGACACGGCAGGCTGCAGGGTTCAGGTGCCCCAGGTAACCCTGTCTCTGCCTGGAGCCCAGGTTGCAGGTGGGGAGCTGTTGGTGGGTGAGGGTGTCTTCAAGATGCCCACCGTGACAGTGCCCCAGCTTGAGCTGGACGTGGGGCTAAACCGAGAGGCACAGGCAGGTGAGGTGGCCACAGGCAAGGGTGGGCTGAGGCTGAAGTTGCCCACACTGGGGGCCGGAGCTGGGGTGGGGGGCGAGGGTGCTGAGGAGCAGCCCCCAGGGGACGAGCGTACCTTCCGCCTCTCACTGCCCGACGTGGAGCTCTCGCCACCCGGGGGCAACCACGCCGAGTACCAGGTGGCGGATGGGGAGGGGGAGGCTGGACACAAGCTCAAGGTACGGCTGCCCCGGTTTGGCCTGGCGTGGGCCAAGGAGGGGGCCGAGGAGGGTGAGAAGGCCAAGAGCCCCAAACTCAGGCTGCCCCGAGTGGGCTTCAGCCAAAGTGAGATGGTCACTGGGGAAGGCTCCCCCAGCCCCGAGGAGGAGGAGGAGGAAGAGGGCAGTGGGGAAGGGGCCTTGGGGCGCCGGGGCCGGGTCCGGGTCCGCTTGCCACGTGTAGGCCTGGCGTCCCCTTCTAAAGCCTCTCGGGGGCAGGAGGGCGATGCAGCTCCCAAGTCGCCCGTCAGAGAGAAGTCACCCAAGTTCCGCTTCCCCAGGGTGTCCCTAAGCCCCAAGGCCCGGAGTGGGAGTGGGGACCAGGAAGAAGGTGGATTCCGGGTGCGGCTGCCCAGCGTGGGGTTTTCCGAGACAGGGGCTCCAGGCCCGGCCAGGATGGAGGGAGCTCAGGCTGCAGCCGTCTGAAGCCGCTGGGCAGATGGGGATCCCTTCTTGCCTTCCTTTCTCTACCCCCTCGCTGTTGTGTGTGTGGTAACTAGCACTAACCCTAAGAGGGCTGGGAGGTGGGTGACTGACCATGGCCGGCGGGGAGGCCTGCTCCTGTCTCTCTGGCAGGAGTGCCTGTACCCCACCAAGCCATGTGAATAAAATAATCCGGAAGTAGCTGTGTATTCGTCTCCTCTGTGTGCATAGGGGGTGGGGAGGGGCAGGAGTGGGTATAGGGGAGATGCAGAGAAAGGCAGTCTCCAAAGAGGAGGTTCTAGGGGTCACTTGAGCCTGGCCTGAGGGGAACCTCTGGTGTGAGGGGAAAAACAGGTCATACCTAGTCTGAGAAGAGTCAGGGCGGGTTGGGCGCAGTGGCTCACACCTGTAATCCCAGCACTTGGGAGGCCAAAGCAGGAGGATTGCTTGAGCCTAGGAGTTTAAGACCAGCAAACAGAGAGAAACTTCATCTCTACAAAAAATAGCCAGGCATGATGGCCTGTGCCTGTAATCCCAGCTAGTCAGGAGGCTGAGGTAGGAGGATCACTTGAGCCCAGGAGGTCGAGGCTGCAGTGAACCATGATGGCGCCCCTGCCCTCCAGCCTGGGCAACAGAGCCAGACTCTGTTTCAACAAAAACAACAACAAAGAGTCAGGGTGGCCTTGGGGCAGGCCCTGGTGGGAGGGGAGATGTCCCTAGCCCTTGAGAATTCCCAGGGGTTGTTAAAGAGGACTCTGGGACATTCCCTGGCAGAGCACAGCTTTGGGACCCCTCTGCCAGGGAGCCTGCCTGTCCTGGGGGACCCACTGCTACCAGGCTGGTTGCTCCCCACCTGCCCTCTGCCAGCGTGGGCACTTCTGCACATCCTGGCCTTCTGTTTGCTGTCTGGCTGGTTTGACTGCCCTGTCCACTCTGGCCCCACCCAGGAAGGCCGCTCCTGCTCCCCTCTTCAGGATCTGGGTTCAAAGCCTCTACCCCAAACACACAGCCGCCTCTTGGAACTAGGTCCCAGGGTCCTCAGCACCCGTCAGTGCTGGTCTCAGCTCCCAGGGACCATGGGCCATCCATCCCTGTCATCCCAATTCAGGATCTAAGTCCCCAGGCTCCCACCAGGGCCTCCAGCCTCCTCCATGTCCTCTGTGTGATGTCACACACTGGACTAAGGAGACTCAATATCCAGTCCTGAGTCTCACCCCGACAGCCCCCCACTCTCCTCACATCTCCCTATCCTGTCTCATTGGATGAAGGGCCTGGCAGAATCCCCCACTCACTTGAGTACCTTGTCCCTTCAAGCCGGCCCTCCTCGGGTCACTGTCTCACCACACACTTTTCCTTTGCCCCCACCAAATATGGCGGGAGTTATCTACGCTCATGGTGCACACCCATTTCCAAGATCCCAACATTTGGGATTTTCCTCCTACCTTGTCTGTGTCAGCAGTGACCTCCCCGTGGCCATGCCTGAGGGTTTCCTTTGTCTCTCTTGTCCTGACTCTTCAAGGCCCCTTCGATCTTCCTGACACCTGCTCCTCTCTTCCCCACACCTCTCTCTCCCCGTGCTCCTTGGGCACTCGAGGTTCCTCCCGGGCCCTTGTCCGCCCCCACACCCTCCCTGGGGTGCATCACCACCCCCCCAATGGCTTCTACACCTCCTCTCTGTGCTGACAACTCCCAGACTCTCTCCTGCATCCCTTTGGGGACCCAGCAGCTTCTGCACGCCTTCCCGGGAGGTTTCCTGGTCTTTAGGAGGTTGTGTGGGTGGTGGTTCAGAGCTTGGTGCTGGAACCAGGCTGCTCAGGGTCAGAGGCTGTTTCTGGCAGTCACTTGGGTGACCTTAGGCATTTTATTTTATTTTTTATGTATTTATTTTAACTTTTTGAGACAGAGTCTCACTCTGTTGCCCATGCTGGAGTGCAGTGGTGCAATCTTGACACGCTGCAACCGCCGCCTCCCAGGTTCAAGCGATTCTCATACCTCAGCCTCCCGACATCAGCCTCCAGAGTAGCTGGGACTACAGGTGTGCACCACCACGCCCAGCTAATTTTTGTATTTTTAGTGGAGATGGGGTTTCGTCATGTTAGCCAGGCTGGTCTCAAACTCTTGACCTCGGGTGATCTGCCCGCCTTGGTCTCTCAAAGTGCTGAGATTACAGGCGTGAGCCACCGCTCCTGGCCAGGCACTTTAAAAACTTCTTTGTACCTTGATTTTCTCTTCCATAAAATCCCTACTTTGTATGTTGTAAGGATCAGATAAGACTTCTAAAGCACTTCATCCTTGTTTAAATGTTTTGATGTTAAGTTTTCTTTTACTTTTTTTTTTTTGAGACGGAGTTTCCCTCTTGTTGCCCAGGCTGGAGTGCAATGGCGCCATCTTGGCTCACTGCAACCTCCACCTCCAGGGTTAAAGCGATTCTCCTGCCTCAGCCTCCCGAGTAGCTGGGACTACAGGCATGCGCCACCACACCTGGCTAATTTTGTATTTTTAGTAGAGACGGGGTTTCTCCATGTTGGTCAGGCTGGTCTGGAACTCCCGACCTCAGGTGATCCACCTGCCTCGGCCTCCCAAAGTGCTGGGATTACAGGCATGAGCCACTTGAGCCCGGCCCAATGTTAAATATTCTAATTTGGCTGGAGTGGTGGCTCATGCCTACAATCCCAGCACTTTGGAAGGTTGAGGCAGGAGGATCACTTGAGGCCAGGAGGATCATTTGAGACCAGCCTGGACAACATGGTGAGACCCCATTTCTACAAAAAATTAAAAGATAAATAAAAATAAACACTTTTTTTTTTTTTTGAGACTGAGTCTTGCTCTGTCGCCCAGGCTGGAGTGCAGTGGTGCGATCTCGGCTCACTGCAATCTCCACCTCCTGGGTTCAAGCTGTTCTTCTGCCTCAGCCTCCTGAGTAGCTGGGACTACAGGCACCCACCACTACGCCCGGCTAATTTTTAGTATTTTTAGTAGAGACAGGGTTTCACCATGTTAGCCAGGATGGTCTCGATCTCCTGACCTCATGATCCGCCCTCCTCAGCCTCCCAAAGTGCTGGGATTACAGGTGTGACCCACTGCACCCAGCCAAAAATAAATACATTTTCTAATTTGGCCTCAACATCTCCCCCAAGCTGCTCCTTATCCATGTCCATTTCTCAGGGACTGCCTCTGCATGCCAGAGCCTTGGGCCTGGTCTTAGACAGCTCCCGCCTTTCCCCCAAACTGTCAGTCTCACGGCTGCTCCTTCTGGCCTTGGGAGTGTCTCATTCACTGGCCTCGCCCTGCCCTCCCCGACCTGTCCCATCTGTGCCCTGTCCTAGACTCTTTCCCTGGCTTGGGGCTTCCACTGTTACCCCCTCCAACCTATCCTTTTTCATACAGTAACTTTCTGACACTCATATCTGACCCTGTCCTCCCCTGCTCAAAGCCCTTCTGTGGCTCCCCAGTGCCCTCAGAACAGAGTCCAAACTCCTTAGCCTGGCATTCAGGGCCTTTTATCCCTCATGCTACAGCAGTCACAGGCTGAACACAGACACCCACACATCACATCTCCCAAGCTCAAGAAGCCCACCTTTCCTCACTCCTGCCTTATCCCCATTCCCGTATGCCCAAGCCCCACGATTAGACTCCCCTCTGTCAACACTTCACCTGTTTGGTCTTTGCAAGGTTCCACCACTGGGCGGGGGAGGGGGCCCAGCCTGGCACCCCACCCCCACTCCAGCCAGGGCTCAGGTCTCCAACAACAGAACCAGAGCCACTCAACAGCGCTGGAACCCATTCAGTGGGGCCTGGGGCCCCTCATCCCAAGCCAGGAGGGCTTTTAGGGAGGGGCGCAGCCCCTGGCAGACTGACAGTGTGGCCTGGGGATTTTGGGGTGCCAAGGAAGCAGGGGCCAACCTTGTAGGAGGAGGCACGAGTGCGGTTCTCTTTCCCCCACTGGGGGGCCTGCTGTGTCGGCGGCCAGGCGGGAGGCCTAGGCGGCAGAGCCAGTGGCGCAGGGGTCTGGGCAGGGCGGTGTCTGGCAGCGGGGGCACCATGGCTACCATCCAGTCGGAGACCGACTGCTACGACATCATCGAGGTCTTGGGCAAGGGGACCTTCGGGGAGGTAGCCAAGGGCTGGCGGCGGAGCACGGGCGAGATGGTGGCCATCAAGATCCTCAAGAACGACGCCTACCGCAACCGCATCATCAAGAACGAGCTGAAGCTGCTGCACTGCATGCGAGGCCTGGACCCTGAGGAGGCCCATGTCATCCGCTTCCTTGAGTTCTTCCACGACGCCCTCAAGTTCTACCTGGTCTTCGAGCTGCTGGAGCAAAACCTTTTTGAGTTCCAGAAGGAGAACAACTTCGCGCCCCTCCCTGCCCGCCACATCCGTACAGTCACCCTGCAGGTGCTCAGAGCCCTGGCCCGGCTCAAGGAGCTGGCGATCATCCACGCTGATCTCAAGCCTGAGAACATCATGCTGGTGGACCAGACCCGCTGCCCCTTCAGGGTCAAGGTGAGTAGGCGCCGTCTAGGGTGGCTGTGTCCCTAGTTCCTTGTCTTTTTCTCAGCTTCTTCCAGCCCTGGATGTTGTGTGTGTGTGTGTGTGTGTGTGTGTGTGTGTGTGTGTGTGTGACGAACTTTCATTCTGTTGCCCAGGCTTGAGTGCAGTGGCACAATCTCAGCTCACTGCAACGTCTGCCTCCTGGGTTCAAATGGGTTCAAGTGATTCTCCTGCCTCAGCCTCCCGAGTAACTGGGATTACAGGGATGCGCCACTATGCTGCCCAGCTAATTTTTTTTTGTACTTATTGGAGATGGGGTTTCACCATGCTGGCCAGGCTGGTCTCGAACTCCTGACCTCAAATGATCCACCCGCCTTGGCCTCCAAAAGTGCTGGGATTACAGGCGTGAGCCACTGTGCCCAGCCTACTTTTTAAAAATTTAAGATATTTATTTATTTAGTTTCAGAGACAAGGTCTTGCTCTGTTGCCCAGGCTGGAGTGCAGTGGTACAATCATAGCTCACTGCAGCCTTAAACTCCTGAGCTCAAGCGATCCTCCCACTTCAGCCTTCCAATTAGCTGGGACTATAAGCACACACCACTGTGCCTGGCGAATTAAATTTTTTTTTTTTTTTTGTAGAAACGAGGCCTTGCTATGTTGTCCAGGCTGGTCTTGAACTCCTGGGCTCAAGCAATCCTCCTGCCTCAGC